ACATTATGTATACCTCATGGGGTTTTAGTTAACAGCCTGACTGTTGCTGCAAATTCAGAGGGAGGGCAATTATTAGGTCCCGCCCACCAAGGCTCTGGTTGGGCAATTCTGTACCCCGCCCACTAAGACTCTGATTGGATAGGTCTGTGTGTGACTGCGTGTCATTTGCCCTAACCTGACCTGCATGCTGCTAATCACTAACCTCCCGAACATCTCAAGTGTCCAGTGGTTGGTAAACATGGTAAAGGGGCTGGCAGGCACTTTACTTATCTTTTCAAACTCTTACTATTCTTCATCAACACTCTTTTCTACCATCGGGTATGTTCACCCCCCAAAAATATCCTTTTTCCTTCTTTTTAAAATTTTGTTTTATTATTTGGGTAATGGGCTGGAGCGATAGCACAGCGGTAGGGCGTTTGCCTTGCATGCAGTCAACATGGCCGACCCGAGTTCGATTTCTCCGCCCCTCTCGGAGAGCCCAGCAAGCTACTGAGAGTATCTCACCTGCACGGCAGAGCCTGGCAAGCTCCCCATGATGTATTCGATATGCCAAACACAGTAACAACAACAAAAAAAGTCTCCAATGGAGACGTTACTGGGCCTGCTCGAGCAAATCGATGATCAACAGGAGGGTCTTTACCTTTACCTTTTTATTTGGATAATGGGCTGGAGCCATATCACAGCGGTAGGGCGTTTGCCTTGCCATGGCCGGCCTGGTCAGCCAGGTTCGATTCCTCCACCCCTCTTGGAGAGCCCAGCAAGCTACCGAGAGTATCTCACCCACACAGCAAAGCCTGGTAAGCTACCCGTATTCGATATGCCAAACACAGTAACAACAAGTCTCAAAATGGAGACATTACTGGGCCCGCTCGAGCAAATCGATAAACAATGGAAGGACAGTGCTATTTGGGTCACACCAGAGGTTCTCAGGACTTACTCCTGCCTCTGTGCTCAGGGATCACTGCTGGTGGGGCTTGGGGAACCATGTGGAGCACAGAGGATGGAACCCAGGTTGTCAGCATGCAAGGCAACCACCTTCTCCTTTCTACTGTCTCTCCAGCCCCTAGTCCTCCTTCATTGGACTATAAATTCCAAAAACTATAAAAAGGATTCTGTGACTCCCTCAGATATCTCCTCAGCTAGGGCCCCACATGTGTGATGACAATTAGACAGTCAATAGAGTGTGGTCAACATCTGCTGCTTCTAGAGACCTGGTGAATATCTTTCACGTTAACCACACTTTCCTAACCCATTGAGCTCCATGCCAGAGTTAACAGTATGTTAGTGACTGTGAAACTAAGGCCAGGAGAAGCTGCTTGCTGGCCTGCCTTGCAAGAAAAAGACTGAATAAAAATAGATGAAGAAACCTTTTAACAACATAACATGAGGCTGACTCCTAAGGATAGTAGAAACACAGGACAGGAAGATTGCTCCATAGCTGAAATCCTGTCTCATGAGCAAAGGGGAGAAGGCAGCTGGAATAGAGAAGGGATCACCAAGAAAATAATGGCTTAAGGAACCAGTCGGGATGGGAGATGTGTACTGAAAGTAGATAAAGGATCAAACATGATAACCTCTCAGTGTCTGTATTGAAAACCATAATGCCCAAAAGTAGAGAAAGAGTATGGGGAATATTGTCTGCCATGGAGGCAGGGGGAGGGTGGGAAAGGGGTTTTATACTGGGGATGTTGGTGGTGGGGAATGTGCACTGGTGGAGGGACGGGTGTTTGATCATTGTGTGATTGTAATCCAAACATGAAAGCTTGTAACTATCTCACAGTGATTCAATAAAATTAAAAAAACAAACAAACAAACAAAACAGTTTAAATGTAGAGATCCTGTGAACTCCCTCCTCACTATGCCCAATATAATCTAATGAGCGAGAGATTTGTTTTCCCAGAATGGCTTGTCTTATTTCCTTGGCCTCACTGAGGAGTAATTTTGACAATGGACAGACACAATCTAATTGTCAGTGATGATGCTGAGATCTGGTCTGTGATAAAAGAAACCCTGAAAGGCACACTTAGATGCCAGATTTCATTGTTAAGAGCATTTGGAACTTGGAGTTTGTATTAAGACCATGTTATTTACTCTCATCTGACACCATCATTCCAGACTCCAACATCCTGGGCCTGAAAGTGTTGGCAGGAATCAGGAGAGACTAAGGGGCCCCTGGAGTGGGTATGGAACTTCCAACTGGCCTTAGCCAGGAAAGCACTGACTTAATTCAATGTAGTGGCTCCAAAGTGTCTGTTCTACTATGTAGTACACAAACTTCTCAGCAGCTTCCTGCTCTCCTGCAGTGTTGTGCAGAGTCTGTGTCTGGTGTCTAGTTAGCTCTAGTGACACAGACCTAACACCCACTGGACTCAGGCTCCAGGACTGCCTGCTTGCCAGAAGCTGGTCACTCCCAGCTCTGCAACAAAGCCAAGAACCACCCCTGTTTCAAGGGGATTTACCATACAAAGGGAACTTACCCCCAGGAATATCTCAATCAACATGGGCAACTATTCTTTGCTGTGATTCAACTGAAGAAAACCCTTGCTCATAACACAGGGAAAAGGTAGGGAGAGTGGAGTTTTTCAAAAGACAAAGCAATCCTGACCCTTTTCCAAAGTGTTTGCTCAGCGCCTATAAGAAAAGGAATCAAAAGCCTCTGAGAAACCACACTTCATATTCATTGTTGAGCAAATCATCACAATCCTCTTTATCAACAAAGGCAGGAGTCGTCAGCCCTAAGTCTAAAAGGCTGTTTCTCTGTGAAGAATAAAATTAGTTTCTGACAAAACGAATCAAAATGCCAGTCTCTGAAAACATGACCTTGATTTTTATTATAATTACTGTCAGCCTGACAGATGTTGTGCACAGCTTGCCCTGTTCCAGAGACAGAAGTTTCACCCCAGGTTGTGTGGAGCAGTTGAGACAAAGGGAATCTTATCGCATCCTGTGTGCCCCCCTCCCATTTACTCAGGGGTCTTTGACCAGCATGACCCTCGCACCCTACTAGCAAGATCACATCATTGTCTACTTTTGTCTATTTAAAGAGGCAACATCTATTCCCATGAGATCCAAAGTAAAAAAAAACAATACCATAGCTGTCAATCAAAATTTATCCCTGATGCCCACAGTAGTCCTTCTGCTGTTGGAAGTAAGGTTTGGTCTTAGGAGGCTGGGATGGTCCTTTCTCCTTGCCCTGGAGATGGGCAGAACTAAGACCAGGAGCAGAGGATTGCTCTGACACAGCCAGGCCAGCAGGAAAGCAGGCATTGTTCAGGAGCTGTGAGGCGATGCATTTCCACCCTTTGTCCTCCTGATCATCATTTCCTAACAGTGGAACTATACTGCCTATTGTACTATGCAAGCCAGGGCTTGGGTGCAGTTCAAGAAGGGAAGGCCTTTTCTCAGCTGCCGGGGGCCTCCTCAGACCCATTCTGCATGCCAAATGGGTCTGTGTCCATCTTTTCTACAGATCTTGCTATATATCTTATGCCCAGTCTTTCTCCTTGGGACCCAGGTACTTGGCTGGAAAGTTTCCTCTCTGACCAATGAGCCTTAATTTCCCTGATGTTTGTCTGAGCACAAATTTACAGAAGAGAAGAAGCCTCTAGGCCAAAGCTAGACAAGAAGCAATTGCTCAGTCAGTGGCACACAAAGCTCAGCCCTCAGCTCTCCTGGAGAGGAACCTCTGGGCCCCCTCCTAAGAAGCACCTGCCCTCTGATTGTCCCCTTGTTCGCCCATTCCTGGTACCAGGAATGGGTTTGGGTGGGAATAAAGAGCATACAGGGACAATCTCCCACCGAAGAACATAAGTACAGATGTGGACGAGGGGCTGCTGTTGATCTCTACCAGGAAAAGAAAAACATGCCCTTCCACAACAGCAAGAGGCAGAGCAGCACTAAAGACCAAGACCCCTACGTAATGGGCACCACATTCAGGTATAGTTGGGGAATGGTTGGACCTGGTGACACTAAGACCACAGACTTTAATAGGCAAGTGTAAAGGTCATCCTTTGATTACAAAGAAAGGAAAAGGAGGAAATGTGGACTGTTTTCAAGAAATACTATTTTGCCAGAAAAACACTTTTGAAAATCTGGGTTCTAGCACATTGTCTGGGGCTGGAGCGATAGCACAGCGGGTAGGGCGTTCGCCTTACAAGCGGCCAACTTGGCCGACCCGAGTTCGATTCCTCCACCCCTCTCGGAGACCCTGGCAAGCTACCGAGAGTATTCGATATGCCAGACACAGTAAATCGACGAGCACATTGTCTGCTGCCTGTATCACAGTCTATTATGTGTACTTTCTCACTCTCTCTGACTCTTCTTGCATTTCTCTAAATAAATCTATTTTACAATAAAAAATCAAATAAAATAAATTATGGGTACCATGAAGGCATGACTAACAGATGCTATGCACTGAAAAGAGATGGGCCTGCTGCCCCAGCAAGACACACTGCTTGACTCTTCAACCACCAGATCAGTGCCAGGCATAGGTAGAGAAAGGTTGAGTACCCTGGGTTGATGGCCTTGGTTCTAACTGTAGGTCTATATGTTGGGGTTCATGACAGGTACTAGTCTGCAGTTATAAGAAGGCTGCCCAAAGCTGCTCTAGCTGACCTTTCATTTGGAATAAAAGACAGAATCTGCTAGAATCTTGTTTATTTGTCTGAGACTCAACCTTCACCCCCGTCACCACACACACTCCTGCACCCCTGGCCTCTTTCTCACAGAAAACTCAACATTCTCACTGGCACTGGCAGAGTTGGGAAGTGCTGCTGGCAGGCCCCAAGTGCCCACTGGGACACTAACTTTCCAAGCACCCACCTTTTCCTGTGGAGACACCGGCTTCTACCCAGGTGGTTTCTTTCCAGAGGTTTCTTTTGGGGGAGGGGTGGGAGATGGGGAGGGTAATCAGGGATCAAACCCAGGTCTCCTGAATGCAAGGAATGTGCTTTCCTGCTGAGCCACATTCCCTGCCTGGGTGTCCCCCAGAGAGATCTTACCTCGTGGGACAGGTAGAAGGCTGCGATACCCAGTGGCCAGAAGCAGCAGAGCATGGAGAACACACTGAGGCCCAGGTGATCCTTTGGGGGCATCATTAGGAAGTTGTCCTCACTCTCCGTGTCACTGGAGTAGTCGCTCTGTGGAAGAGGGGACAAGAGAGAGTCAGCAGAAGCATTCAAGGCTCCAGACACAAGGGATACATGGGTAGCAAAACAAACTCGTCTGGGGAGGTTGCCGCTGTTGCTAGTGCCTGTGAGGGAACTGAAAATCTGGATGAGGGCAAAGCACCAGGGTTCTTGGCCATTTTATCCTACTCAGGTGTGTCTTTCAAAGGCAGTGGGAATAAAGTGTTCAACACTGGAGTATAGGTTGAGTCCACAGAGAAAGAATCAGAAGTTTTTTGAGACATGTGAACCAGCTCTGGAATCCACAATAGAGGATAAGGTTCAGGATAGTTTAGAGGACAAGGCAGGACCAAGTTCAGGGAGTGGCAACAGCATCCCTCAAGCTCAATTCTCCTAGATGCTTACCTGGGAAAGGTCTGCTGGTGGCCTGCCTGAAGCCTGAACCTTGGGGCTACATCCCAGGAACTGATTTTCTAAGAAAATGTCTTTGACATTTCATTTTTTTTCTAAGTTCAAAATTATTCTGTTTATTTTTTTGTTCTTACACTTTGTTTTTATGTAATTTCTTTTCCATAAGTAAAAAATACATTTTCAATACCCCATTTATAAATATGCTTCCTTGAGGGACTATTTAATCTTCAATTTAAAACAAATTGCCTTACCATAAAAGTATAATTTTTTTAGACTTACAAGTTGTTGTGCTTGGGTTTCAGTTATACAATGATCGAGTACCCATCCCACCACTAGTGCCCATTCTCCACCTCCACCAATCCCAGTATTCCTCCCCCCATCCCCCATCTCACCCTGCCTCTGTGACAGGGCACTCCCTTTTGTTTTCTATCTCTCCTTTTGGGTCTGTACACCAGAAAATCAACTACCTAGGAATTAGTTTAACTAAGGAAGTAAAGGACCTGTACAAAGAAAACTACAAAATGCTGCTTCTGGAAATAAAAGAGGACACGAGGAAATGGAGAATTATCCCCTGTTCATGGATCGGGAGAATTAATATTGTCAAAATGGCGATACTTCTCAAAGCACTGTACAAATTCAATGCCATCCCTATTAGAATATCCATGACATTCTTCAAAGAAATGGAGCAAACACTCCTGAAATTTATATGGAACAATAAACCCCCACAAATAGCTAAAGCAATTCTTGGGAAAAAGAAAATGGAAGGAATTAACCTCCCGAACCTCAAACTCTACTACAAAGTAATAATAATTAAAACAGCATCATACTGGAATAAAAGCAGAGCTGCAGAGCTATGGAACAGGGTTGAATATACTGACATCTCCCCTCAAACAGATGATCATCTAATCTTTGATAAATGAGCAAGAAATGTGAAGTGAATTAAGGAAAGCCTTTTTAACAAATGGTGCTGGCAAAACTGGATGACTACATGCAAAAACTGGGCTTAGAACTCTGTCTAACACCATGTACAAAAGTAAGATCAAAATGGATCAAAGACCTCAACATCAGACCGGAGTCCATAAGGTACATTGAAGACAAAGTTGGCAAAACCCTCTATGACATTCAAGCTAATGGTATCTTCAAAGATGTCATGCCACTGGCCAAGCAAGTGAAAACAGAGATAGACAAATGGGACAATCTTAAATTAAGAAGCTTCTGCACCTCAATAGAAAGACTGACCAAAATACAAAGACATTTGTATTTTGGGAAAAAATGGGAAAGGATATTTATTCTCCAAATGACATTTCTTACATTGGGGGACATTGGCTAGCACAGGCCTTCACAAAACCTCCTTGCAGTTTGGTGCAGGACCTGGGACATGATTCTAGGATTGATAAAAAGCTGACACTTCTGATGCCAACTCTCACTCTGCAAGAGATGGACGTGCTGGTCAAATGCTATGCAGAGGCCATGTTGTGCTTGAGAGGCTGCCAGTGGCCACCTGACTCTCTCTGCTTATGGTGCCTGTGCACAGATGGCCATGCCTGCTAGTTGGACCTCAGACTGCTGTTTCTCACTCTCCATTGAAACGGGCACTCAGGATGACTCACCCCAAAAGCAGGGTGCTTATTTTATGGAGAGATGAAGTCATATTTTACTCCAGCATTTGTTTCCTGAAAAGAAATGGGGCATTTCTTCTCACCAGAGCCATTTGCTTGGGCATCCTTTGCCTGCTGTTCGAGGCTATTGACTATGTGGGGTCTGATGTCATCTGCAGAAACTCAGGTCGTGCAGCAGTGCCCAGAGGACCAGAGGAAGTAAATGCTCAGTGGACATTAGTATCAGTATCATGCCTGTTGCCCTTGGATGCCGCTGAAGCAGGATCATGCTCAGCAGCACCCAGTGGGCTTCTTCCAGTGATCTGGACACAGAGACATATGAGTCCAGAGGTGACCATAGTGTCCACTTCTATTTTGGTTAAGAAAAATGCCCATGAGACTGCCAGTCACAGCTGCAGCTGCAGTGCTGGAGTAGAGTGATGGAAACTTCCTGAGAAACTGCTTTTTTTCTTGCTGAAACAGAGGAAACAGGCAAAGAACTAATTTGGCTCACATGTCACAGAAAGGGAGTTTCTCCAAAGGACAAAAGCAGGGGGCACCTGTTCAACCATACTCTCTCTCTCTCTCTCTCTCTCTCTCTCTCTCTCTCACACACACACACACACACACACACACATTCACATACACACACTTACATGCACTCACACATATACTCAAACTCACATACACATACACTCACACACTCACATACATATACACATACTACTTGAAGGACAGGATCTTGGAAATATTTTATCTCAGAGATGGTCAGCTTTCACATCTTTCCTGCCATGTTGTCTAAGCATACAGTACCTGGGGTGAGATCTCTGAATCTGGACTGAAGAACATCTCCTCCCCCCAAAATTTCTATTTTTCCTATTCTGTGGCACAGTGCCCAATACAAATAATTAAAATAAAAACATGAGGTGGGGCAATGGTCTCAGTGACAGTCCCAGAGTAAACCGTGTCCAGTGTCCCATGAGAGAGGTGTGGATCTCAGAAGAAGCAATTCCTGCTTCTAGCTCGTTGCTCAGATCTGTGTTCAGGGACTTCAGGCTGACAGTCCAATAGTCATGGTATGTGTGTGTGTGGGGGGGGGGGGGGCAGGAGGGTGGTGGAACAGCCTCATAAGCTACAACTCTATCTAGCACATGTGTTTGTTTCTCTTTCTTCCTTTTCTTTTGTGGAATTTTGCTTTCTCATGATGTATTATATACCCGAGTTGGCTGGATCATCATGATTCTAAAACTAGGTGCTGTTACTATTTTTACTGTTATTTCCATTTCACAGAGAACAAGATTGGGCTGAGTGACCAAGTCTCACAACCACACAGTCAGGAGTTACTCCTTCCAGAGCAAGCCCCCTTTGCTTCAATTGCTTCCTGTCCAGAGATGAAGGGACCTTCCCTCTTTCTGCTTGGGGACTCTGGTGACTTTGTTCTAGGATTGGTGAGTGGTGACAACGATGGTTGAGAATTTCCTGATTGAGCAGCGATTGCTTGTGAAGGAGTGGCCCACACTTGCAGCACAGGCAACCAGCCTTGGAATCTGCTTTGATCTATACTACAAGCTTTATGGAGCCAAGAAAAAATTATATTTCAGGGCACTCCCCCAAATCTTCACAGATTTTTATTTAGAATCTTAAGAAAATCACATTCTCTAAATTGTCAAGTTGTGGCTACATGGCTCTAAAATAATTAGTTGATTTTGACTAAAATAGATTTCAAAAATTCAGGCAAATTACAGGGCAGGCAAAAATAGTTCAACTCCTTTTATGTTCTCTCCTCCCTCCAAGAGTGCATGCACTGTGGCGAGAGCACGCAAGCACCAGGGCAGCCAGAGCAGGATGGAGCTGAGCTGAACTGGGGTGGCTGGGGGGAGGCGGGGAGCTACCTGGACAGCCAGATGGAAAGGGAAAACACACACAGCCCTGTACCAAGATGCAGAGCAGCTGTTTTTAAAATTTATCTTTATGGGTCACTTCACGGGGACATTTGCAAGGCACAGGGTGAATTCCAGAAGAGTTTACCATTCTTGTGGAGATCCTTCCTCTTAAGCCAAACTTTTGGGGAAGCAAATACTTGGAAGGTCAAAAGCTAGAAGCTGCCTGTCCTTGGAGGATGCTGCAGGCTCTGGAGTTTGCCCCCAAGCGTTCTGCTCTCTGTCCCCACCTCTGCTCAGAGGTGGAAGCTCCCCAGAGGACCTCTCCTTGGGATTTTCTTCCTTGGGGGTAGTCTGAGAAAATGATCCCAATGTTCCATTATTTTTCACATACTGTGTTTCATGTTCACTCAGCTCTGTGACCAAGAAGAGACCTCAGGGGTGACTCTGGGCTCTGCCTTGTTTCTTGATCTTGGTCACAGCCACATGCAGCTGTGGCCTCCTGTGGTCTCATCCTGCTTCATTATGCCCCCACTCATCTCTGCAGGCTACTACTGCTAGAGGAGTGAGGAGGTGTCAACCTGAGAGCAAGAAAACACTGCAGTGGCCTGCTTCGGGCCCCTGGGATGTAGGGACTACTACAGGGGTTCCTGCTCAGGAGTAGATGGGTGGGCAGTGGAGATGTTCACAATGGGTACTGCTTGCAGCACTGTTTGCTTAGGATTTAAAAAACTTTTTATTGAATCACTGTGAGGTAAAGCTGTTCATGATTAAGTTTCAGTCATTCAGTCAGTGTTCCAACACTCATTCCTCCACCAGAGTACACTTGCCAGCATACCAGTGTCCGCACTTTCCTTTTCCCCTCCTCACCCCACCCCACTTCAGCCCCCAGTCTGCCGCCTGCTCCTATAGCAGGCACTTCTCTCTCTCTCTCTCTCTCTCTCTCTCTCTCTCTCTCTCTCTCTCTCTCTCTCTCTCTCCCTCTCTCCTCTCTCTCTTTCTCTCTCTCTCTCCTCTCTCCTCTCTCTGTCTCCTTTTGGGCATTGTGTTTTGCAATACAGATCCTGAGAGGTTGTCCTGTTTATCCCTTCACCTACATTTAACACTCCATTCTTGTCCTGTG